AAGAAAAACAATCTCTCCATTCCTGGAAAGTGAACCATACTGCTGTTATACACTTGTATCTTGATGTGGGTATTTTTATTCAAACTGCTACATATTGAAATTGATTATATACAACTTACTTTGCCTTAATTCCTTAATAACTCAGAAATAATGTTAGGAAGAGTGAGAGCATGGCAAATCTTGAGAGTCTGTGGATTTCAGGATTTCACGAGCCCATAGAGCGAATTCTCTTGAAATGGCTTTTGTCAGTTCAAGAACTGTTTTGTTCTTTAGATGTTGACCTTGTTTAAATTAGGCACAGGTAAATGGATTCTTGGTATTTGAGACTCTTTCCATAGCAGTTACGAGCGCTCTTTTTTGCAGAAAATTTATTGTCAAATTACTGCTGCTCATAGAGGGCCTTTTTCAGGCAAAGTAAACAAATAATTCCACATGACTTCTTGGAAATAATTTGAAGGGTGAGGTAACAACAATTTGTTTTGAACCTCAAAGACTAAAACTTATAGATTATTGGGAGGAGGTGTCCTTAACTGACATTCTTTCTTCAGATACAAATACCTTTTATAAGACCAAACTCTCTAACCTTAACTTGAGCAGGGTTCCCCTTTTTTCCTAAATGTTAGCTACATGGGCTCATTATGTGATCCTAATTTAATCCCACCCCCCTGCCAAGAATCAAGGTCACTTATTTTCCAGGATTCCCCCTCCCATTCCCTGAAAGATTAATGAAATTTTCAGTTATCAATGTTCATGTATGATTAAAAATGCCTATTATTAGAACAGATCTGGCAGCAGAGCAACTGCCCACTTTTTGTGTAATAGGATATTAATTAATATTGCTTGCTCCACAAGCAGCAAGGCTGGAGATGTAATCTGTATCCAGGCTGCAGGGAGGTTAAACTCTTGTCTCCCGTGCTGCAGAGAGTGCCCCAAGCAAGAAGCTACAGCTCAGTCGGAGAGAGGCTGTCTGCTCCACATCTGCCATGGAGCTGGAGCCTGGCACTGATATCCCTGGCACAGCACTGTACCCATAGGAAGTGTTAACGATTTTGGGAGTTTCACTTTGTTCAAGCAAGTTTAGAAAGGATGAAATTCAAAAATCCAGCATAGACTGGATAGGATACTGTTTCCACCTAATGCTATTCTTTTTAATCTATGGAGTGCAGCAAGTTTTGATACCCTCTAAAAAGCATTAGTCGCTGTAGTTGTCATACCTTTTGTCTTTTCCAAGGACATAAACTAGCTTTTCATCTAACTTTGTCCTGGCTTGGAATGGGAAAAATCATTGTCATGGTGACAAACCTGAAATAGGACTTCAGCATTATACAGTAAAATATATGTACTGCTCTCTAACTGGCTGTCAGCAGCTGGTGGAATTATTGACCACCTTCAGCAGGGAACAAGGCAAGAAGAGATGAAAGCGGAGCCTGAAAGACATCTTGTTTTACTCACTATTCTTTTGCCAGGCTGCCAAGGCCAGAAGGGTCTGATGGTTTTTTGACAGATATGATTCCGCATTCACTGAAACGTAGGCACTAACCTGCTTCAGTGGGAATCCTCTTAACCTGCGGTCAGTTTGACTGGGCAGAATGAAGTTCTGTGATTTTGGTCTGCATTTCAGATACAGAAAAAGGGTGTGTGGGTTGGAAGCGCTTCTTTTAGTACTGTCTTGTTATGTCTTCATAAAAAATAATTACTGAGAAATTGTCATACTGGATTTTGTATTGGTAAAGTTTTCCTATCTATTCTTTTTATATTTAATCTCTGACATAGTTTCTATGGTTTTTGTAATGCACCCTTGGTGAAGAATGAGGTAGATACTTTGCACTGTTAGGGGTTTTTTTTTGAAACAAACGACAACTATTTTTGTAAGAAGAGAATGATGATTCTACCTTTGCACCTCACAATGCACCTGAAACATTTAATGCGTCCACAAATGGATTGTAGTTGGTCTAGCTTTCCCCCTTCTTTTAATGAAGTCTGAAGCCCCATACAAAAGATGAAATAGACCATGTGTAAGGATGAAAGAGAGCATTTGTTCATGGATGAATGAATGGATGAATTATCATATCCTGGTTATTTCTGATGGAGCCAATGCAATTGTATTTCTCTCCAGAGCTAAAATTTTGCTTTTTAAATGATAACTTACTGGTAAAATCTGTATATGGAAGAGTCCAGCCTGGAATGGCTCTTGAATTAATCTGATAGAGGATTAATTTAGTTGTCAGGTATAGGGTTCACATTAGAAACATTTGGGCAGAGGGTGGTGAAAGGGTTTCCTATTTCGTCTTATTAAAGACAGTGTACTCTGAATGCTAATGATGAGTACTCTGAAAACTCAGACTTGAAATGCAGTAAATCCAGTGATTATGGTAACTTCTTATTTAGATTAATGCGGATTAGTCCGCTATGTTTTTAGCGGACTAATAAAAGCATCTTATTTAGATTAATGCGGATTAGTCCGCTAGTGACTATGTTTTTATTTACAAATGGGCTCAAATTGCTTAAACATGTGCTGGTTCTCTAGTGGTATGGAGATAAGAGGTGAGCACTGCCAAGCAGTGATTCTACACTGTGATTCAGAATGGCATTTTTTTACTCACAACAGAGAAACAAGCTTTGGTATTGTTGGAGTAGAAAACTAATTTTAAAGGTCAAAATCTGTCATGAAGAAGTATGTCTTCCTTTCAGTTGTTGTTGCTATTATTATTATTTGTGTTGACAGCAAGATGAAATCTTTTTCAAAGTGATCGATTACAGGTGTTTTAGCTGACCATTTCTGGCAAGATTTTAATGTAAAATCCCTTTTGAAACATGGGCATGGTCTTATCAGAACATCTGTTTGCATAACATATATTTCATAAGTAAGATGCATGCTTTTTTTTAAAAAAGCCTGAATCATCCTCCCTACCTTTATTTTTAAGCTAAACACTTTCAGCATAAATACAAGCCGCTTCTGCAAATGCAAGCTAAGCCTGTTGCTCTGTAGCCTTTGCAGCCCTCTTCTTCACCCTTCCCTTTCTTTCCCTCTTCCACCCACCCACCTTCCTCCTGCCTCTATTTCCCCAGGTGCTGGGATACTACAGAAAGCTCAATGAGTTTCAAACATTAAACCTTCCCCCAACTTCCAAAAGATGAATTGGGAAAATTTGAAAAAGATTAGCAATAAAGGATGTTAATAAAGGCCGTTTTTAAGTTCCGTAGTGTTTACATTTCTTTTAGAGGCTATTATTTTTAAAGCTAATAAATTATAAAAAGTAGCACAGAAGTACCTTATTAACCAACCCGTGCTTCAGGTGATCTGAACATGCAAATTTTACACTTATGAACTGTATTAATAAATTACTTATTCTCTTTTGTGACTTAATAGTCACTGAAAATGTTATTTTATTTAACTTTTATTTAACTGTTAAAATATAGATATTGATTTATAGGTGACTCCTACCTTCCCCCTACTCTGTTTTTCTATGGTATGTAACTGTTTAGCAGGATTACCACTTTCTTCGTTAAACTCAGAAGCATTTACCATTTTGTTTCTTTATCACAAGGTGACAGACACCTTACTGCGTATACCTGAGATTTCTTGCAGCTTGGGGAAAGAACCAGTCAGTAACACTGTAAACTTAATGTGACTAATAGGTCAGTTCAATAGCCGTGTCCCAGCTGGGATTTTCCTGTTTGAGATAGTTTTTCCCTTTGGTGCTACTTTCCCTCTAAAACTTGACGCGTTTAAACAAATTTTCCTAACCTGAAATGTCATGGAGAGAATGCCTGCTCTCCAAGGTGAAGTAGCTCATTTGTTTCTAATGGGGGGTGGGGAAATGAATCCTGTACTGATATATGGGTGGAAAACTGTCTCATTTCTCAAGGAGAGTGAGAAGACCAAATGGAAAAAGTATCTTTAATATTTCTTGTCTACTAATGTAGAGATGTGTGCAGTAGCTCCTCCTAATTGGGAGTTTTGAACTGAGGGTATCTTATTGCTTTTAATTCAAACAAGTAGTACTTAAGTCTTAAGATTTACCTTCAAAGTATACTTTTCCTTCCATAAAAATTGAAATTCTATCTTTACAAGCTAATACAAATTGGGAAAAAAAAAAAGTTGTGTCTCTGCAGACATCTGCTGGGACAATGTGATTGTTTCTACAAATATTGACTACAATTCTATAAATAGGTCATCCAGTCTTTAGTCAGTGCCAGTCGTCTTTATGTTTTAAAGCAGAAAAAGGCAGAAGATCGCTACCTTGTCTAACATGTCGATGTGCTAGGGATAACATCACTCCCTGGTGGGACATTGCTCTGAAAATCCCATTGGATGGGATTTGAATGGGAAAATTGATCTACTTCCAAATGCCATTTCTCTGAACAATAAAGGTCTACAGGGTCACTCCCATCCTGAAAACTGATCATTGACAGAGCTGAATTTATTTTAGGAACAGGAATGATCTCTGACATACGTAAGAAAAATGTTTATTTTTAACAGTACTATGTCTGTGTTTTACAAAAGGAGAAATAAATTACCCTGGTTAAGGAAGCCTGGAGGAAAGTCAAATTGGTGTAATATCCCACTGTTCCATCCACTAAAAGGTCTGATTTTATCCCCAAGCTGCAAGAAAAGTGAACAATTCTTCATATTCGAGCTGTCGAACTCATGAAAGAGAGGGACATTTTTACTAAAGGACTGATGCATTATCCTACTTTCTAATAACATTGCTTTATAATACTGCTTCACTTTAAAATGCTACGTGTTGAGAAGAGGCATTATGAGCCAGAGCATACAAAAACTGTACTGTTTTTCCTTCCTTGCTCTAGAAAGCAGAAATTTGGATGTTAGCAGAATGGCAGTGCAGAATAATTGTATGTATATTTTAAAAAAAACCACATCAGAATGGAGTTATGCATAGTCAAGCTGGATATAATGTTAAGTAGAACTGAGTAATCTTGCCATTTGTATTGCAGCTACCTTTTGACTTTGTGCATTTTGCTTTTCTGTTTCTTAGATGCACAGCCCACAGATGGAGAAAGGGAGGTATGGAATCAGATCAGTGCAGTTTTACAGGACTCGGAAAGTATGCTTGCAGACCTTCAGGCTTACAAAGGAGCTGGACAAGAAATTAGAGATGTATGTTTGTTGAAGTTAATGACAGTTCTTTGGAAGCAAAATCAAGCAAAACTCAATGTGTTCCTTGCTTCTGTTCTGTATCCAAGCACGTTCTATGAAACGATATGAAAATCTTCATTAAAATTGTATTTAGAAAAGATGTTACAGATTATGTATGATGATGAATATAAAGCCCTAATGTGAAATCATGAAATGATGACTGCTAGAACTTCTTTTAGGTTTACTATTAGTAATTACTTTTCACTTTGAGAAACACCATTTCATATATCTCATTTTATGTATCTCATGGTAGAAGTCAAATTTGAGGACATGGAAGAAACAATACTCAGATGTCAGGAATTACACTATAAAAAAAGTTGAAAATAGTTGTTCTTCTGCATAAGTGCAATAATGAACCACAGTAAATTATAACCTTACATCTACTTTACAGGCATCTTCTTCTGTGAAGCTGGTCCCTAAGTACAATTGTGAACTGTAACTTAAAATTTTTCTCAGCTGACCAAACCTTTTCCTGCATCAGCTTCACAGTTAGTTAGCATGAGCTGTTGGTTACATAAGAACCTGAATGTGTTGAAGATTTCAGAAGCATCAAAAACATTAAAAAAAAAAAGGCACTTTCTGCAACCAGTAGTCATACAAAAGATCTTATCTGCTGATTCTGCAGTAGTTTTGCTCCCCAAAGAATGCTTTAAAACACATTTCTATATGTCAGTGGTGCATTGGAATGAATGATTTTAAATCACTGTGTTACAGAGGGAGAGGGAAGGTGGAAAACATGGTATTTTTTGGACATAATAATTTCCTATTCCTTTGCAATGTAATTTCTCATAATTGTTCTATGGTTTACAATATGTACTTCCTACAATAATGTAGTAGAAAACTTCCAAGCCACTTTTTGCTTATTATTCATATATCACAGTTCTTTACAGTAATATTTTCATTTCAGGCAATACAAAATCCCAATGATATTCAGTTGCAAGAAAAAGCATGGAATTCAGTATGTCCTCTGGTCGTAAGACTGAAACGCTTTTATGAGTTTTCACTCAGATTAGGTGAGCCCTGTTTTAGCATATCTGTTTATTAGGCTGTTTTATATATAAATAAATAGGAAATTTCTTTTTCCAGAGACTTTTAATGGGTTATTGTTCTTTCTGTTTGATATCAACAGACATTTAACTGCAATTACATTTATCAAGGCATATTTTAATCTTAATTTGATTTCAAAATTACCATCGTTTGCTAGTTTGTCACTTAAAATAAATCTGTATTATCTAAATAGAGCACAAGCAAAGAAAGTGATAAAACTGTAAAGTTTTTCTCTGGTGCCTGCCACTCTTCAGCACTTCCCTGGTCCATGTTGTACTAATGCAATTTATTTTTTGTAATTTGAATCCTTCAGAGTTCTAAAAGGAATGCAAACCAGTAATATTTTGAGACTTTTTGAAAACAGGGATAATGGGGGCAGAAAGGTATCGATAAACTCTCTCACACGGTGGAAATCCAAAGTTGGGCATGTTTTACACTGACTTTGTCATTCCTACAAACCCGAAAAATGATATAATCAGTCCTTGAATTAGGACTCTGGAAGAGAACCAGTGTGCAAAAATGTATGTGTGAAGTGGGAGAGCTCCCAGTGCAAGGGAATTGTTCTACACCATCCCGCTTACTAAGTCTTTCACTTTTTGACTTATGCTAGTAATTATAGCCATGGGAGCTGAATCACATTGCTGTCAGTGCCTAAGAGCACACTTTTAGTAACAGAAATGCCAGAATGATCTGTATACTGAGCTGAAGGCTAATTGGGGAAGATGAAAGAGAAAGAGTTGAATATCTGAATGCAAGAAAAATGCTTTCTCTAGAATTTTCGATAGGGATCTCAGATAAAGGGTGATAAAAAGGGAAAAGAGCTCAGGGATACAAAACGGAGAGAAAAAGGCAGAGAGCCTGAAGAGGCAGGTGCCTTGACTAATGTTTCTCACCTTAGAATAGTAGGAAAAAGCATTTCTGTTAAGGGTCTGCATGTTCAGAGGGTTCATTTCCCTCAAACAAGATACTTACTTAAAACTTTGTCATAACGTGGACTGAAAAGAATTTGTGCTTCTGATTTTTATTCAGAGAAAGCCCTGCAGAGCTTATTGGAGTCGTTGACGTGCCCGCCTTATACTCCAACTCAGCACCTGGAAAGGGAACAAGCTCTAGCGAAAGAGTTTGCAGAAATCTTGCATTTTACTCTTCGTTTTGATGAACTTAAGGTTAATAAGTCTTTTAATACGTGCTGATTTTTCCCATGTATTTTGAACCGAAACTGATTATTTCCTATTTGTCTTCCTCAAAGATGAGAAACCCAGCAATTCAGAATGACTTCAGTTATTATAGGCGGACAATAAGTCGCAACAGAATAAACAACATGCATGTAAGTAAACACAATCTGATCTGCTGTTCACACTGAGATATTAATCAGTATGCATTTATACCATTTGTGGTAATGTTTTTTCTTTTGATTCGCTAGCTGTCATGTTCTCACCTTCACACCGAGAGTTAATCAGCAGTCCGGATGAAGTGATTAGAGTTGAACTATTCACGCAACAATCTGCTTGCTGACATGAGCATGCACTGTATTTTTCTCTTGCTGCCGGCAAGATTTTTTTAAAGAGTTTTACTGACTTTTTTTTTTGCATGTTTTCATCAGCTAGACATTGAGAATGAAGTAAACAATGAAATGGCCAATAGGATGTCCCTGTTTTACGCAGAAGCCACACCAATGCTGAAAACACTCAGTACTGCAACTACACATTTTGTATCAGAAGTAGGTAAAGGGGAGAAAGGGTCTTACATGGGCATTCTTGGTTTTAATTTTACAAGATGGTTTACTCAACATTGGCTGTTTTTAATCCTTCTAGAACAAAACGCTACCAATTGAAAATACAACGGACTGTCTAAGTACTATGGCTAGTGTATGTAAAGTCATGTTGGAAACACCGTAAGTTTTACCTTAAATCTTGCTTTTCTTGTATGAGAGTATTTGTATTGTGTTTTAAGTAGCCACCTGGGGTAGACATAGTTTTTTTTCCAAATGAATTCCTGTATGTTTGCCTGTAGTTGTTATCACTTTTGTACACAAAGCATGACCTGGTATTAGAAAGCCTTGCCTCCTATTTTAACCACCTTATGATATTTTTCGTGAATAAACACTGAGTTTTGTTCAGGAGAGCTTACATGATCAGCCTGTATTTCAACAAAAGGTTAAAATAAAGTGTAATCTTAAGCACATAGGCTTCAGTTTCTTGCCTAGGCAGGGCCATAGGCCAGCTACTGTCTCTTGATTGCCTGTGCTGCTCAGTTATTAGCACACTTAGGGGCAAGATTTTGGCTCTTCCAAGCAGTACTTTCACAAATGATATCCAGGGACTGTTTTGAGGATCATTGAAGTAGATCTTTTTCGGATGCAGCTGTCTTATTCTGGATATGAGAAAGTTCAGCTGTATGGGAACTGTACTACTGTGTTCCTATCTACTAGTGTAGATACAGCCAGTGGGGTTGCTATTGTTTAGCTGTGCATTTAGTTGAGTATTTTTTAGGTTAGAGGTCTCTTTGAGTGGAAAACGCGTACAAGATAGAGTCAAGGTAGTCTTCCTGTCTTTGAATCATTTGTTCGTGGTGCCTTTTAAAGGGTAGAACTCCTGAGGTTATTGTGTTTGTTTATGAAAAGTTTGGAGAAGTGTACGTAGGAGGTAGGACTCATCTCACAATCCCGGGACATCATAGAAGTAGTATTTGTAAAGTACCTTATGTGTTAGCTCATTTTTTGGAAAAAGAACAAAGCAGAGGAATAGAAAGTTGAGAATTATCTACTAGAAGATTATCTGATATTTTGTTCTAATTGTGGAATGGTCAAGCATTTTCATATCAAAATATCTGTAGCCTTTAAATCTACTCATGTTACAGTACAGATTTTAGTATTTTTAATTATATGTCTAAGTGAAAAGATCAAGTTTTATATTGTAAAACAATGAATGACAGTAGACAAATCTATGTATTGTCTACTCAAAATAATATTTGTTAGAAAAATTGTGATAATTTCTGTTTTTCAGGATTTTGGTTTTTTCCTTACTGTACTTCATTTTACATTTCCTGATGATGGTTTCAGGGATTAGAGCAAATATGGGCTGTCTTTACTGTGCCATCCTTATTCTTATTTTGGAATTGAAAAGTGAAAGAAAAACTCTTTGGAATGAGTTCAGTCCAGTCCTATCTAGTAGGCCTCTAAATTTTAGATGCTCAGTGAACCTGGGTTGTTGGAAGTTGGCTGTGGACTTACAAGACAGAGAGACAGCAATGACTATGGTCCACCTAGGTGAAGCCCTGAACTTAATTGGCTGCTGAAATTATATCCCACTTAAATGTTAACAGTTTCAAAGTAGGAATTTAAGCAAAAGGAGTAGCTTTCCCTTGAGATCCTAATACGTTGTGTTTCTAAGATGAAACAAGTATGATCAGTTTCCATCATGTTTCATGAACTGTGGAAGTCTTCTGTGAAGCCGTCATCACAGGCGATGTGCCGAAGTGAGGATCTGAGCTGCGAAGGGCTATTAGAAGGGGTTTACATGTCTGCTTTCTAACAAGGACTTGTGCAATTCAAAGATCTTTAAAAATGTTACTAAGATGCATCTTCAACCTTAAAATACAATTTTAGTTCAGGTTTCATGCGCTCATAATCTAGTTTGAAAAATTGTCCAATAAGAAGTCAAGATTATTTCTTTTGTTCCGTTTTCCAGAGAGTACAGGAGTAGATTCACCAGTGAAGAGACCCTTATGTTCTGCATGCGAGTAATGGTGGGAGTTATTATTCTGTATGACCACGTTCATCCTGTGGGAGCTTTCTCAAAGACATCAAAGATTGATGTAAGAGTGACTTTTCTTTAATACTCTGTAGGTTTGAGAATACTAGTCTGCAGCTTTTTTTTCAGCACAAGCTATGACTTTGTATAAATCATTTTAATTACTTTTGAATGGCAAAATTTAGAATTTATCTTCACCTACGTACTTTAATATATCAGCTTGTTTGAAATTAAAATAAGAATCAGTCGTCTTTTCTTTGCATCTTCTTCTAGACACAGATAGTCATTTGTCTTAGTTATCTCTGTTTTCCTGCCAACTGTATGGTTACATTAAAATAATTTTGTATTACACTTACCCTGGAATAAGTTTTGTGGTCATAATTTTTTATTAATCATGTAATTTATTTATGCTAAAAAAACCCTCTTTGGCGGTAGTCTTATTGCAAATGAGCAGATATTCAACATTGTCTCTGCTTTGTCTGAGAGCTGAAGTAGCAGAACTGAAATCTTCTCTTAATGTTGATAATGAGCCTTCAGTTGTAGCTGTGGCATGACCAGTCACAGGGAAATAAAGCTTATTTTTTCATCTGAGACACTGCAAGCATACTCAAAAAGTACTCTTATTTTTACTACATATTTTTACAAACCTAAATGTCATGTGCCATGTCTTTCAGCAGAAATAAGCTGTAATTCATGAAAAAAGATGCTAATTCTTTCCCTTTACAAGAGAGCCTACTTCAAAAGAAAATAAAATATACATTGTAGTATTGCGCTCCATGGCACTGCGTCTTTGGTACCATTTTTCATCTGCAGATATCAGTATTTTACCACATCTCCTCTTTGAGTCTGTTTTACAGAGGGAAAGATATGTCACAAAGAGGTGAATTGATTTGCTCAAGGTCATGCAGCAGATAGAGCCCGGGAATTGGATGCAGACTTTCTGACTGCTAATTCAGTCTCTTGCCTACAGAGACAACACAAGTAAAATTTTGATAGGACCAAATATACAACGTCTGTACTTTGTTTCTCACATTTGTCCTGAAGCCCTGTAATCTTACGGTAAAGTTAGCTAGGTGTAACTGGAAGGCAGGGGATGTAGGACTCAGTTTTTGAAAATGAGTACATGATCCCAAATCTTAATTCGCCTGATTAGTTTAGTGATTCTTCTCTAATAAAACAATCTTCTAATATTTCAGATGATTAGTTTGTTTTACTGTGGAAAAACTATTCTTTTCTCCAAACTAGTCACTTCTTGGGAGCCATTTCAAGAGACTTTCACAGACAGTGGAACAAATTACCCTTTCCTTATGTTTCAAGACTGGAGAGTGTATTTCAAGCTGTTAATTATAGGCTCCTAGCTTAGCTGTTCTAACAGTTTCATTTTTTTGACTCTTTTAGGGATTCTCATTCTAACAAAAGTGGGAAAGAATGGTTTGAATTTTTATCCCCTTTGAGTTTGTCTGATCTGATCTGATGAGGCACGTAAACCTGTTCTGAGTGATGTGAATATAGTCTTAAGTTTGTCTAGTTCAGGAAGAGTAGCTGTGTCATTTCACAACACGTGCTGCTACCCTGACAATTTCATGTGATCTGCTATTTGCAAAGCTAGTTTTATCTTCGAGCTGGAAATGAGCCAACTGAGCAGTGATCAGTGACTGTTAGTCTGGTCATTGTGCAGGAGGCTGAGCTACATTTTCCAAATCATTATTATTGGCAAATACATGGACCCTGGCTTCAGTTAGTATTTCCTCATCCACTTCCATAATAAGGCAGAGTTGCTCTTTAGCTGCAAAGAAAATACTGGCATGTGCATTTAGAACTGTAATGTGATTTAGAAAATTAGAAGGTTCAAATCTTGACTCTGCCATGTCTTTATCTGTCATTTTAAATAAGATGGAATTAATCTAACTAGTTTCTGGATATCTATTCAATGTCTTCATAGCAATGGGAAGAAGTAGGTACTTCTGAAGTGTGATTCATTATATAGGAAAGTATATTCTGAATAGGTTAGAGGAATTTCTTATTTCTCTCTATTGACTAGATAGAGAGTCTGTATAGTGGGTCAAATGAGTTCTCCCTCTGCTTTCTCTGCTTCATTTCCCCTGTTGTAAATTTGGACTGAGTTTCAGCCTGTTTTTTACAGTCTTCACGAATATGTTCATTTAATGTGTTGTTTAAAATCAACATCATGGACTACTTCTCTCAAATTAAATTTGTAACCACTAGTTATGAAACAAATCTTAAGTTATCACCAGTTAGGTTTACAACTAAAAACTGAATCCTGAAAATTACTTCCTTGTGTGCAAGCATAAAAACAAAAGTCAAAGTTGAAACATCTCTTCTGATAGTTGCTAACAGCAATGACATCCAAAATGTCTCTTTTTTTAGCTTATATCAACTCTTCTTTTTTTAAGTTGACAAAATCACGTGCAAGTTAAAATATATGCACTTGATATATAATTTACTATCTACAGACACTTTTTAAAGTAGATGTTGCTTTCTCAAAAGTTAGGTTCTTAAGATATTTTTTAGTAAGTTATAATGCCTGTATTGTGTCGTATAAAGCAGCGTTAACAGTCAGTAGGAAAAAAAACCTGCCTGTCTGTGGTGAAATTTTTCATTGTTTTCAGTTAGTTCAATTCATATATTATTGTTCAATAGTGGCATGCTTCTGTTCCCAGATGAAGGGATGCATAAAAGTTTTAAAGGAACAACCACCTGATACTGTGGAAGGACTTCTGAATGCTCTCAGGTATGTGTGGAATTGTTTGATTCAGCCTTAACAATTCCTCATTGTTTTTCTCCCAATCTCTGTATATTTAAGACTTTTCACCTTAGAAGCTTGATTTCTTAAGGAAATTGTCCTTTCAGGTTTGCCTTCATTACCTGAGGTTTTCTTAAGTAATATTCCATGTTACTTTGATAAGTAATGACTATTAATCTTGGAAGTCATAATGTCCTTCTTCAGAGACACTTAAGGTTCATTTTACTGCCTAAAACTTAGCCATCTAAAAGGTAGACAATACATCAAAGGTAAACAATATATCTAAGCTAAGGTTTGTTGTATAAAATAAAACTAGGACATTTTAGAAGCAAAGAGTAGAATTTCTATTTCTCAAACCCTTGATACTTCCCTTCTCTCTTTCTCTTTTAATAAGGCTTTTTTTAAAATTTTGCTAAATGATACAACTTCAAGAAAACAGCAAACTAAATCCCAGTGCTGTAGCTAAGTGTTTAAGGTGCTGTCTTGGGGAGCAAGACACAAAGGTCTGACACTTCTCTGAAGCTGAGAAAGGGAGTCTTAGTACCAAGTTTTTCAGAGCTGTATTGAATTCTTTAGCTTTTGAATGCTTGGATAGAGTGAGAGCTCCAGCCATAACTGCCTCCATATTTGTTTATCATGTCTTTTGAATTAAAATTGCTGTGGAGTTAAATCCTACAGGTATCAGGTGTGTTTTGAGCTTATGTGATAATTGATCTCCCTACAGTTATAAGCAGCAGAGAATGTTTGGGCTCAAATGGAAAAGAAACACACTAAAGCTCTTCGGTCCTCCCAGGATATTTGAGAAAGCTGCTGAAACTTAGGCTTATAGCTTATGCCAAAATTCAATCTAGATTCCGAAGTCCTTTGAGTATTTACCCTATTTCTTATGTCTTTCTATGATTTTTACTTCTTTTGAGGCTTTTAACTGGGAAAAAAGAGATAATTTCAGCCCAAAATTATGACAAGGTCATAGACGGATGGCAAACTGTATTTAGCCAGAACTTAACCACAATTCTCCATCTGTTAACAGTGAATATTGCAAGGAGTATTTAGAAGATAAGAGCACCAGACTATTAGCAGTTAAATTTCAGTGATAAGAGACTAGAGGAACATGTCAGTTCCTCCTTTGTGTAATTGAACTGCACCAATTTCAAAAACAGGCACTGAAGTTTTCAGACTTTTCTAATTGGTGTTCATTTTATAAAATACTGTTTTAACTTATAATTTCTAGGTTCACTACAAAACACCTGAATGATGAATCTACTTCAAAACAAATTCGAGCTATGCTGCAGTAGTATCCTGAGACAAGGAGATGTTTGTATTGGTCACAGAAGATGTGTATGTTTACATAATTTAATACAGTTTGATGTTAATACTTGTGTGTATTTACATAACCATTTTCTTCACATTGCTAAAATATATGAATCTGTTCATAACCTGACTGACTTTATATAGTGCAGCCTAAGTTTTTATGCTAGCCTTTATCTTTTGACTTTTAAAATACTTTTTTACTTAGATACTTCAGCTATGGCAGTTTATCTGTGCATTTTAATCCTTACACACCTTCTCTATCAGAGAAGTAAGTAGTAGTGAAGACAAAATGGAAATCAAATAAACTAAAATAGCAAAGATACCACAGAAAAGGAACTTTAAAGAAGGAGAAAGTTAATATAAGAGACAATAAAATTCATTGGATATGTTTTAAGAACATGTGCACAGTTTTTTAGTTAGTTAATTTTAGGATCTCATCAAACTTGAATGAATAGGAGAATACCTGAATGTTCATCACTCTCATAAAACATGTTGTCTTTCCTGTAATAAGTGGAGATCCACCTAATTTTAAGGATTGTCTGCTAGCTGACATCCAAAAATGTGTTGCAAAGAGGTCATTTTACCTTTTTCATTAAGTATAACTTGTACCTTTCAACAGTTGAGGAAATTAATATCCTTTTTCAGATTCAACATAAATAAACAGAAAATGTGCTTTAAGACTGTTGCAAGGATTTGAAAATTCTGTATAATTTTATTAGTTTTAGAAAGCAAGGGGAAAATACTAATGCCTTGACTTAACTGGAAAGGATTTGTCAGTATAAATATACCATGATGAACATTATCTCTCAGACAGCTCTACCCAGTAAGTAATTTTTTTGCTGATATAAACCGGTATAAAGCAGAACGCTCTTCTGTAGCAGCAAACTTCTGTAGTGTTCCAAATTGGCCTCATCAAACTAGGGATGATATAAATAAGTTTTAAGAGCTGAGCTGTTCTTAGGCACTCCATCAAGTTCCTTGATAGTATTATTCATTAGATGATTCAGAGTCAACACAGAAATACCAGCTCACTGCTCTTCATTGGTTTTTGAGATGTGATTGATACTTCAAGGAGTTGAGTTCCTTGCTGAGTTGTTTGTTCTTACTTTCTAGTAATTTTTCCAGTAAATGGAATAGAAATACTTTGCCAAAAGCAGCAAAGTGCTTGTTAAGTGTGTCTTCTGGGTGGTCTGCAGTTGCTGTACATATTCTTGCAGAGGTCACGTTCTGAAAATGTGTTTGGTTTTGTGTACTTTGCTTGCAGGTATGTGTGAAAACTCCAGTCTTTGTGCACAGATTCAGATTTGTGTTTGCTTATTCCTGTGTACGTAAATCAGAGCTTGTGTGCTCTCACTGGAATTTTCATGCACATCACTTCTATAAACATTACGTTCAGACTTTGAAGATGCATTTAGTCTGCTGAAATTCATCTGTGCTGTGACAAATTCAGTTGTTGAACTCAGTCCTTAAACAGTATTAATATCATAAATTCTCTGGAGTAGGAATTGCCTTACAGTTTAATTCTGAGCAGAACTACCACTATGAGGCTCCTCAAGCCTGATCAGAACCCATAGGCACCAACGTTATACATGTCATGATACTGGACAGCACCACAACTCCAGCGTTCATGTCACACGTCTGCAGTTGTAGCAGCAGATCACTTATGTTGTTGTCAGGAACAGAATTAGAAATCACGCTAGTTTTTTTCTTTTTCTGGAAGCAGTGATCACACTGCTTTTTCACAGTAGTAAATCCACTGTTTACAAACTCCATTTTTAATGGGGGGACATTTACAAATGTATATTGGGGGAAATCCTGTTTTGTTCATAGTCACTTCCAGTATTAGGTAAATCTAGGTGGACGACAGGTCATTCTGTTAAGCTTTGGTAACTGAAGTTAATACATGCTTTACCTGCGATTATTTGTCAAACAATGAAGTCTTTAAGTAGCCCATAGGAAAGCTATTTGTCACTTGTATAATAAAAGTCGACCTTAAAGCATTCTGCGAGTTGTCATGTGCTGTTTGCCGAAGTCACTGAATTTCTTTGCCTGCTATGATGTTTTTGTACAGAAGTTTGTTTGAAATAATAAAAAAAATTTGGTACAGTAAACATTGAGGCTCTCTGTATTTAGAGAAAACATAAGCAGGTTGAGAAGTATCTCATTTAAAGTTTTGGATCTGAGATACAGTAGGCTCACCTTTATGTATCCAGTTTATAGTTTATTTAAAAAGCATTTAAAACATTTCACTTGTATGCCATAACAATATAACCTCACGTCACTTAAACAATTCCTGAGTTTTTCTGACAATTCTTGGCACTTGTCATCTTGACCAGGGGAAATTGTTGATGCTGCTTTACAGAGTAGGTGGCATGAATCCCTTCTATGACTTTTATATCTCCACTTAGTCACCCTAGGCTATGGTGGCCATCCCAGGTTGCATTTATAATCAATAAGGTCACCAGAGGATGATTCATTTAATCTTAAGATAAGTGCAAATGAATTGCTCTCAGAAGAAGAGCTTTATAGACTAATCGTCGAAGTCATTGATCTCCATTTTTTCAGTGTTTCTTGTTATTTTGGCTCATCATTATGTAAGAATACATGTTTGTAGTATGATAAATATTTAAGCCTAATAATGACAGCATTTCAAAATGTGCATAAATGAGTGCTGCTAGTTTGGGTCAGAACAGCCCTTAAAATTTTACTTGTTTTGTGGTGGAAGAAAATATTGTTTTAGGCTGGTATGAATTTGAAAGACTAGAATTTGCTACTGCAAACAAATGAATAGATTTGAAACATAATTTATGAGTTCCAAGCTTTCTGCTGCTACTAAGTGGCTGTCACAAAGGGTAGTTACTAAGATAATATTTACTGGTATGTAATAGACCACATAGCTCAGATAAATTATCTAACATTTTCCATGTCTACTAAAATTTACAAAGCAACAAAAAGTGTTTTCTGTGTTGCTTTGTGTGTTGTATTTCAGCTAAATTTAAACTGGATGTAAGATGTAAGTAGTATATAAGATGACTTGGGTCCTTATATTTACTCTGAATTTGTTACTAAACAAAGTAGAACATAAATTCTTCATATGAAATGATCTCTCTTCCCCCTCCCACATTTGCTTCTCAAGAATATATTTCTGTGAAAAACACAGTGCCAGTCAGGTGGATGCACAGTTGTGAAATACTGCATCATTTTTTTATGCCACATCTGGTTTTGGCCAAAACCAGTACAGATTCTTGTCTGTCCAGTTCTCAGTTTGTCAAGGTCCCTCAGAATGGCAGCACAACCATCTGATGCACTAACAACTTCTCCCAGTTTGGTATCATCTGCAAAATTCCTGAGGGTGCATTCTGTCCCACCCTCTGGGTCATTAATGAAGATGTTTAACAGTATCGGTCCCAGTATCAACTCCTGGGATACGCCACCAGTGACTAGCCTCGAAACGGATTTTGTGCTGCTAATCACAACCCTGTTGAGCCTGGCAGTTCAGCCAGTTCTTTAATATACCTCATTGTCTGTTTATCTCATCTAGATTTCATCAGTTTGTCTATGAGGATGTTATGGCAGGCAAGCGAAATTAAAAGTCCCAGTAAATCATCTTGTGGCTGTGTAGTCAGGAATATGCTTTTAAAATTGCATGTGTTCTAGGACTATTAGAAATGCATGACTCTGGTAAACATCAGAAGTCAAGAAATAAAATCTCACATATCCAAAAGTTTGTTAATAGTTGCATATAGTTGGAAGAGGTGGGGTTTTGTGTTGTATTTTTTTCTTTAAAAAGTAGGACACTAATTACTGTTCTCTTACCTCAGATGAATTATCTAATGCAAAATTACAGAATCTATGAATTCATACTATGAAGCAGATTAGATAGCACAATGGAAGCCAGTGAGCTCAAACAGTGACATGAATTTGATTTGCCTATAAGAGAATAAACCTCATTTTGATTACGAAGCCAATATAGCAGATCTAGTATTTTAACGTAGTAGTCTGTAATGCTTCCTGCTACAAACTAATTAAGGTGAATTCCTGACTGACATATAATCCAGATTCTGCAAACACAGAATTCTCTTTCACACCAATTTGAGACAAATGTAACTCAATTGATTTCAATGGAGCTGTTTCTGATTGACACGGGTGTAAACGATACCTTTTGTCTTTTCTCAGTTGTGGCCTTTGACCTAAGTTGCTTATTACTGAGCAAATTGAGTCTTCTGCTAGTGCAGATCAATGACGTAACATGATAATCTTGCAGAGATCTCTTGTGCTTGACTGCTTTGAAATTAAATCTAAAATGAACAGTGCAGTAGGTGTTCCAGAAAATCAATAAGTATATAGTTAAAAAGTAGACCAACCAACTGCTAATCCCTAGTTTAAGAGGAAAGTATATCATGATTTTTCAACAGATTTTAATTCGAAGTCCAGCTGGAATTAATATAACTCTCTTATCTTGGATATTTGGGCTGTTGACAATTAAATATGTAGACTTAGGTGTTAGGAACTTGACATACCTCTTGACATTTTAAAATTGCTAACAGAACTTAAAGGTTAAAATATTTGTATGTGGCTTGGATCAAAATTGCTATTACAGCTCATGATTGTTCTCATTTTGATTCTGCATTCACTTCAATGAAATTCTAGTGTTTAAAGAAATTTTCCATGGATTTTAGTGATGTGTCAAGCAGCTACTGTCTTACTGCCTTGAAAATTGTGGAAGAGTTTATCTATCTTCTCTAGATGCACAAAAGAAGTTGGAAGAGGACAGTGAAAGATGATCAGTCTCAACTGGTTTAGATCTTCCATAACGAAAATAGGACAAAGCATGAGACTTGACATGGATGCAGTCATCATGCAGTTCAGAAACTACCCTGCCCTGTGGGTTGTGTGACATGGCCATGTCTGAAGGTCAGACCATGTTAGACAGCAGGGAACTTCTGAAGGACTTTGACCAGGAAAGGATTCTACTCAAAATGAAGAAACTTGTCTCTTTACAGATAGAATAGAATAGAATAGAATAGAATAGAATAGAATAGAATAGAATAGAATAGAATAGAATAGAATAGAATAGAATAGAATAGAATAGAATAGAATAGAATAGAATAGAATAGAATAGAATAGAATAGAATAGAATAGAATAGAATAGAATAGAATAGAATAGAATAGAATAGAATACAACCTGGCCTGGAACACTTCCAGGGATGGGGCAGCCACAACTTCTCTGGGCAACCTGTTCCAGTACCTCACCACCTTCTGAGTGAAAAATTTCTTCCGTATCTCAAATCTAAATCTGCCTTCTTTCAATTTAAAACCATTGCCCCTGGTCCTATCACTACACGCCCTTATAAAAAGTCCCTCTCCAGCTTTCCTGTAGGCCCCCTTTAAGTACTGGAAGGTTAATAAAAGATCCCCCTGGAGCCTTCTCTTCTCCAGGCTGAACAGCCCCAACTCTCAGCCTGTCTTCATAGCAGAGGTGTTCCAGCCCTCGGATCATCTCTGTGGCCCTCCTCTGGACCCGCTCCAGCAGCTCCATGTCCTTCTTGTGTTGAGGACTCCAGAGCTGAATGCAGTATTCCAGGTGGAGAGCAGAGTAGAGGGGCAGAATCACCTCCCTCGACCTGCTGGCCACGCTCCTTTTGATGCAGCCCAGGATACGGTTGGCTTTCTGGGCTGCCAGCGCACATTGCCGGCTCATGTTGAGCTTCTCATCCAGCAGCACT